CAATCAATCAATACTAATCAGTGTTAACCAGCCGATGAATGGAACGCAGCATAAGCATCGGCTGTATTAAATGTAGCAGATTGAAATGATTGTGTTTATGGATTGGTAGGAGAGAATGATTTTAATGGAGGTCTGTCATGATCTCAGATCTGTTTTGACCATCACTATTGATTACAACATCCATGAAGAGACATAATGAGCAGAGAGATGATGGCTCCTACTAACTTCACATTTTTGCCTTCAAAAATGGATATAAATAAATCACCAAGCATCACTTTGTGGAAACTTGATTGCGCTCTACTCTAAAGGCAGCTAAAGCCGCTTTCAGCGCATGAAGCAGCACCAAAGCCCTTAGTTAAGAGAGCATCTCACATGGCATGAACAGATTTGTGTTTATTAGTCATGCTCGCTGCTGTTTTAATGCAGTTTTGGCTCAGCGCTGCATGAATTACAGTACTAATGATGCTCTGTGCATCTGCACGGCACCGAACGAAGGGTCTGGTACACTTCATGCGTTAGCGTTAGCGTGTGGGAAGCTGGCAATCTTCCTAAACATAAGCCCTGTATAAAGGTGATGAATATTCAATATAGCCTTCACCTTCCTCACACAGTGCAATAGCATGTCATTTATCTGCCAAATTACACTGCTTATCTACTGGGGCAAATTGTATAACACTAAATTTACACTTATGCTGTTTTATTTCGTAAATTCCTTTGGACAAAATGTATAATGCATGAATGTAAATGAATCAATTTAGCATCAGTCTTAAGTATACTAAACAAACTAAAAGAAACAATGCTACTAACTTTAACTAGTTGCATTTTTCAGTTGCATGAATGTTGCTGCATTCAAGTACTTAAAAGCCATAGCTAGTTATGCTTTTGTGCAGAAAAAAACATCAATGTATTGGAAATTTGTAAGCTTTGTTTGGCATTTGTGCTAAAACCAAGAGGAAAGGATGTGCATTAGGTGCCTAATTGATACTTTACTCTGTATTCTTGTGCAGCCAAAGAGAATCATGGGAAATGTAGTTCTGTCATCCAATATAGGGGAAGTCGTGGCCTAATGGTTAGAGAGTCGGGCTCGTAACCCAAAGGTTGTGGGTTCGAGTCTCGTACCGGCAGGGATTGTAGGTGGGGGGAGTGAATGTACAGCACTCTCTCCCACCCTTGAGCAAAGCACCGAACCCCCAACTGCTTGGGCGCCGCAGCATAAATGGCTGCCCACTGCTCCGGGTGTGTGTTCGCTGTGTGTGTGTTCACTGCTGTGTGTGTGCGCACTTTGGATGGGATAAATGAAGAGCACTAATTCCGAGTGTGGGTCACATGTCACGTCACAATAGTATGCCAACAATCCCATTCATTTTCTCCATAAGGGAACTGATTTTAAAGCTAACTCATAAACCATTAAAGACATATCTACTATGAGTTACAAGGCTGTTAATCGATGGTATACGCTTTTGTTGAAACCATCACCCTACATTATTTTAACAATAATTGTGTTTAAAAGTGGAATTCCTGGTGAAAAACTACATTACCCATGATTCTTCAAAGAAATTTCTACCAATCAGAAGCTAATTGCGCCAAAAAATCTCTTTGGCACTGCAAAGTTTCCCTATGATCTCAAACTGCTTAAATATTTGTAAACATATACATATTATGCAATAAACATCAAATATGTTGTTTCTATAATCATCATATAAATTAATAGTTTTATATTTTTCTGTTGATTTTTAATGTCTACTTCTTCATGAACTCAACACACAAATTTAAAGTACTTCTCACCAGCGACTATAACATTTTGATGTTGTTCATATGTACTTGTCTCTGACATGACATGAATGCAGTATATTAGAATATCTCAGTCTCAAAAAAACGTTTGGATTCATTTTAGTGAGTCGATTCATTCAGGCAGTTTATTTTAATGAACTTGTTCTGCAAAATTATTCTTTAAATCAACACTCATTTTAGTTCCTGGGACTTTCTGTGCATCATTTTATGCATTTATGTATATTAACATATTAAGACTGACAGTCCACACAAACTAAATGTACTTAAAGGAAAGCGTCTCACCAGTGATTATTATTTTGGTGCCGTTTATGTGCACTCATTTCATAAGTATGATCATTCTGACATTATCTGAATGCAGTATCTTAGAATATCTCCCTCTCAAAAAAAAAAA